ACCATCTTTGCTCTGGTGAATGACCTGAGACGAGCGCTGTCACTCATCCCTCATTAAAAGTTCACCTCCATCTGAACAGTATATTTGAATAGTGGCGGGGGAGGGGAAGGGTGGGGTTCTGTTGACCATGCTAGCTCAGCAACCCCATCCCGGATCAGAACAGGACCATGTGCTCCCGGCATTTGATCCCCGGGGGAAATTCCACAACACATTGGAAATGATGGCGGGGACATTACAATGAATGAAAGCTCTGTGCTTCGGGGGCGGTGAGCGGCCCGTTCCTCCGGTAGGGTAAGACCGGCACTCGGTGACGGGATCATGAAATAATATTCTGATTCCTCCAGACAGCTGCTCAGGTTTCATTGGATGCAACAATGGCCCTGGGACGGCGGTTTGATTCCACGGAGGGCAGAAGAGCGGAGTCATGAGGAATGACCGGCGGAGAGGCTTGTCTGGGCAGAATGCATGCCGACAGCCGACGTAATAGAGGCCGTGCGCAATCACACCCTCGTCTCTTCCAATCTGTCTCCAGACACGCATGTTGGAGCCGTGCATGGTGTACGAGGGCCGTTCACAAGACAGATTGTCCTGACAGTTCAGAATTAGACTTGTCCGACACGGCACCTTCCACACGGAAACGGCACATGCCACACGGAAGAAAAATAGATTTGAAATACTACAATAAATAAATATATATATACATATATATACATACTGTTGTGGCCAAAATTATATAACCCCCAACTTCCGCTGGCAGTACTCGGGTCGTTGGTTCGAATCCCAGCCACGGCACATTTGGAGTTTGCATATTCTGTGCCTGCGTGGGTTTCCTACCGGGTACTCCAGTGTAACTCCCACACTCCAAATGACAATTGTTTATGGTAATACAGTCTAAATGGTTCTTATGTATGTTGTATTCATTGAATTAGTTCAGGGACCCCTTAGAAAGACTACCACTTGAGGGAAGGGAGGTGATACAGGTGCTTACCATCAGGTATTGAAAACAGCGCGGAGTCACCGAGCGCAATCAAGCATAATAAGCACCAATTATAGCTTTAAAATGACTGCCGAAACTCAGCTCCTTCTAGACATTTACTGGTGTGGTTACAAACATGGTGAAGGCAAGAGAATGGTCCAGGAAGACAAGAGAAGAGTGATTTCTCTTCACAGGAAGGGCAATGGCTATAAGAAGATTGCAAAGATGTTAAACATATACCAAGAGACACCTTAGGAAGCATCATTCGCAAATTCAAGGCAAAGGGCACTGTTGAAACGCTACCTGGTCGGGCAGAAAGAAAGCTTCGACTGCTGTGCGCTACCTGAAGCGTAGAGTGGAGACAAAGTCCCCGTGTGATGCTGAGGAACTGAGACAAAAGATTTGTCAGATGTGGGTACAGAAGTTTCAGCCCAGACAATAAGACGCACACTGCGTAATGCCTCCGTGCCAAACTCACCCAGGCAAGTAACCCCCTTGCTGTCTCCAAATAGAATAATCACACCTGACTGCAGTATGCCAAAAGCCATGTGGACAAACGTTCACAAACCTTTGTGGGATAGTGTCTGTCTGTGGACTGCATGAAACAAAGAGGAGACGAGAACTGTTTGGGCCCATGGATCAACGCAAAATGTTTGGAGGAGGAAGGAACAAGGTCCTATGATGAAAAGAACACCTTGCCTACTGTGAAGCTAATCTCCCTGGTCGTGGACGTGGAGGGTCAATCATGCTTTGGGGCTGTTTTGCTTCTGCAGGTACAGGGAAGCTTCAGCGTGTGCAAGGTACCATGAATTCTCTTCAGTACCAGGAGATATGGATCAAACTGTGATGCAGTCCGTCACAGCTCAGGTTCAGGGCGACTATCCGTTGGACCTTTCAACAGGACAATGATCCCTAAGCAGGAGACTCCAAGTCCACTGCTGAGCACAGAGTTGCAGAAAAAGGCTGGACTACATTTTGCCAAAAGTGGCCATCGCAGTCAGCCAGACTTAAATCCTTCTTGAGAACCTCTTGTGGGACTTGAGAAAGAAAGCAGTTGCGTGCGCAAGCTAAGAATGTGACTGAACTGTTTACCATGAAAGAATGGGCGAAGATACCCGTAGATCGCTGCAAGTACACTTGTGTCAAGCTATGTTCAGGTTCAATGATGTTTAAAAGCTGTTATAACTGTAAAAGGATGCTGTACTAAGTACTAAGATTGAAATGTCACTTGGGGTTGAATAAAATGATAATGCTGTGAGCACAGAAAAGACATTGTGGTTATTTTCATTATAACTGTTTATGTTATATTTGTCTGACCCTACAAGTGCCTTTAATGTGAAAATGTAAGCAAAGATGCGCTGAATGATCAAAAGCAATGTCAAACTGCCCAAAACACTAAATTCAGTGGGGGTTGAATAACCTTTGGCCACAGGACTGTACATACTGTTATACATAAATAATTTATATAAATGGTTAGCACTTTGGCAGTAAGGGGTCGTGGTTCGAATCCCAGTGAGACGGCACCTCCTGCCTGGGTTTGAATGACTGATTTCTCCCTGTGCCTGCGTGGGTTTCCTCCGGGTATTCCAGTTAAGGGTGCCACACTCCAAAGACATTTTGGTAGGTTAATTGGCTCCTGTCTAAATTGTCCCTAGTTTTATGTGTATGTATGAATGTGAGTTAGGGACCTTAGATTGTGCCCCTTGAGGGTTAGGGACATGTGTGAATGTACAATATATATGTAAAGCGCGGAAATACATTGATTTTCAGGCGCAATATCAAGGGTACCTGAAATAAATAAATTATGACTGTATCTGTAGGGGGAGTTCTGTCCTCCTCTTTGCTGCCAACTGCTGAAATGGGTACTAGGGGCAGAGACAAAGCCTCTGCAGCTGCACAGAGAAGCACAGGAGTTGGCAGCAGAGAGGAGGACAGAACTCCTCTTACAGATCCTGTGCCTCTGTGCAGCCTCAGCGTACCTTGTATTGCCTCTCTGTGCAGCCTCAGCGTACCTTGTATTGCCTCTCTGTGCAGCCTCAGCATACCTTGTACTGCCTCTCTGTGCAGCCCCAGCATACCTTGTATTGCCTCTATGTGCAGCCTCAGCGTACCTTGTATTGCCCTCTCTGTGCAGCCTCAGCATACCTTGTTTTGCCTCTCTGTGCAGCCTCAGCGTACCTTGTATTGCCTCTATGTGCAGCCTCAGCGTACCTTGTACTGCCTCTCTGTGCAGCCTCAGCATACCTTGTTTTGCCTCTCTGTGCAGCCTCAGCATACCTTGTATCGCCTCTCTGTGCAGCCTCAGCGTACCTTTTATTGCCCTCTATGTGCAGCCTCAGCGTACCTTGTTTTGCCTCTCTGTGCAGCCTCAGCGTACCTTGTATTGCCTCTCTGTGCAGCCTCAGCGTACCTTGTATCGCCTCTCTGTGCAGCCTCAGCGTACCTTTTATTGCCTCTATGTGCAGCCTCAGCGTACCTTGTTTTGCCTCTCTGTGCAGCCTCAGTGTACCTTGTATTGCCTCTCTGTGCAGCCTCAGTGTACCTTGTATTGCCTCTCTGTGCAGCCTCAGTGTACCTTGTATCGCCTCTCTGTGCAGCCTCAGCATACCTTGTATTGCCTCTCTGTGCAGCCTCAGCATACCTTGTATTGCCTCTCTGTGCAGCCTCAGCATACCTTGTATTGCCTCTCTGTGCAGCCTCAGTGTACCTTGTATCGCCTCTCTGTGCAGCCTCAGCGTACCTTGTATCGCCTCTCTGTGCAGCCTCAGCGTACCTTGTATCACCTCTCTGTGCAGCCCCAGCGTACCTTGTACTGCCTCTCTGTGCAGCCCCAGCATACCTTGTACTGCCTCTCTGTGCAGCCCCAGCATACCTTGTATTGCCTCTCTGTGCAGCCTCAGCGTACCTTGTTTTGCCTCTCTGTGCAGCCTCAGCGTACCTTGTACCTCACCTCTCTGTGCAGCCTCAGCATACCTTGTTTTGCCTCTCTGTGCAGCCCCAGCATACCTTGTACTGCCTCTCTGTGCAGCTGCATCAGGCCTTGTATTTGACACATAGAGTTAACTGTAAATAATGGCCACTCTGTGTGTAAAACAATTGTTTTTGCGCGTAGCCACCCCCGAGGTGTGCATTTACATTTTGTTTGTTTGGGGGGGGGGGCAAAAATGTATTTGGTGGATATATATATACAGTATATATATATATAGACAGTGTGTATATATATATATATATATATATATATACATATAGACAGTAATTATATATATATATATATATATATATATATGATTTGTCGAAATATATATATTGATTATATATTATATAATTATGTTATTTCAATACAATATATCAATATATATAATTATGTAAGTATAACAGTATAATTATATTTTTTTGTTTGTTTCTCAGTCTCCTAATTGTAAAGTCGGTGTAAATCTTCACTGTCCGGGTTGTATATAAACTGATATGTTAACATTTGTATAAAAGCTGTATTTTATCAGAAAGATAGTTGCCCTTTAAATCATTTTATATCAATGTATCAATAGTGAGCAGCATCCTCGGAGTCCTGTAATAAAAGCCCAGGCGCCATTCTCTGTAATTAGATGTCTCAGCGCAGTCGCTGGGAGTCGCCATTTTCCGGCGCGCAGTAATAATGTTAATTTTAGGAAGGATTTTGATGGCATGCTTTGAAAGAACAAGTCTGAGCCTCCCGCTGTTTCCTTTTAATCAGCTCCAGTATTATAGTGACTAGACCAGGGAAAGCAATCCATCTCCACATTTAACGAATAGAAAAAAAAAGAAAAAAGTGACTTCCTATTTGGTATTCCTGAGGATTTTACAATGCGAATGATTATCCCGGCTTGGGCTCAGCAAGAGGCCGAATTACTGAGAGAATGTCGAGTCTCTGGGAGGGATATGTGCGGGTTTAGAAAACAGTTTTTTGCTGTATCACCTCCTTTCAGTCTTGCACAGGTGGACTGGCTCCTCCCCTTCAGTCTTGCACATGTGTACTGGCTCCTCCCCTTCAGTCTTGCACATGTGTACCGTCTCCTCCCCTTCAGTCTTGCACAGGTGTACTGGCTCCTCCCCTTCAGTCTTGCACAGGTGTACCAGCTCCTCCCCTTCATTCTTGCACATGTGTACTGGCTCCTCCCCTTCAGTCTTGCACATGTGTACCGGCTCCTCCCCTTCAGTCTTGCACAGGTGTACCAGCTCCTCCCCTTCTGTCTTGCACAGGTGTACCGACTCCTCTCCTTCAGTCTTGCACAGGTGTACTGGCTCCTCCCCTTCAGTCTTGAACAGGTGTACCGGCTCCTCCCCTTCAGTCTTGCACAGGTGTACCGGCTCCTCCCCTTCAGTCTTGCACATGTGTACAGGCTCCTCCCCTTCAGTCTTGCACAGGTGTACCGGCTCCTCCCCTTCAGTCTTGCACAGGTGTACCAGATCCTCCCCTTCAGTCTTGCACAGGTGTAGCGGCTCCTCCCCTTTAGTCTTGCACAGGTGTACCGGCCCTCCCCTTCAGTCTTGCACAGGTGTACCGGCCCTCCCCTTCAGTCTTGCACAGGTGTACCGGTTCCTCCCCTTCAGTCTTGCATAGGTGTAGCGGCTCCTCCCCTTCAGTTTTGCACAGCATATACTGTGAAGTGGTCAGGAGTATGTAACATACAGCACAGCATATACAGTGTATGCTCAGGAGTATGTAATGTACAACACATCATATATGGTGTTGTGGTAAAGAATATGCAATGTACAACACACCATGTACACTGTAGTGGTCAGGCGTGTGTAACATACAGCACAGCATATACAGTGTATGCTCAGGAGTATATAATGTACAACACAGCATGTACTGTGAAGTGGTCAGAAGAATGTAAGGTACAGTACAACAACAAAGTGTATAGAGTGCAGAAGTCAGTAGTATGTGATGAGCAACAAAGCATATAAATGACAGCCGTCAGATGAGTATTTTCTACAGATCAGTGGTCAGAAGTATTTAACATGCAGCACAATTTATAGAGTTTACAAATCAGTAGTATGTAATCTACAAATCAGCATATATAGTGCAGTGGTCAAAGTATGTAATATACAACACGGTATATAAATTGGAGAGGTCGGGAGTATGCAGCATTCAATATAGAATTTTGTTTCCACGGATTTAAAGTATGTAACATACAAGACAATCTATAGGGCGCAGGGGTCAGGAATATGTGAGGTACTGTACATCACAGCTTATAGAATGCTGCGATCAGGAGTATGTAATATATAGTACAGTGCACAAAGCATAGCAGTCTGGAGAATGTAACCTACAACACAGAATTTTGGGTACAAGGATATGAAGTATGCAACATACAACATAGTAGGGTGCAGGGGTCAGGATTATGTGTGCTACAGCACAGCTTATAGAATGCTGCGATCAGGAGTATGTAAGATATAGTACAGTGCACAAAGCATAGCAGTCTGGAGAATGAAACCTACAACAGAGAATTTTGGGTACAAGGATATGAAGTATGCAACATACAACATAGTCTGTAGGGCGCAGAGGTCAGGAATATATGTGCTACAGCGCGGCTTATAGAATGCTGCGGTGATGAGTATGTAACATACAGTACAGTGCGCAAAGCGTAGCAAGTCTGGAGCATGTAACCTTCAACATAGAATTTCGGGTAGAAGGATTCAGAGTATGCCACATACAATGTAGTATTTAGGGTGCAGAGGTCAGGAATATGTGAGGTACATCACAGCTTATAGAATGCTGTGATCAGGAGTATGTAAGATATAGTACAGTGCACAAAGCATAGCAGTCTGGAGAGTGTAACCTACAACACAGAATTTTGGGTACAAGGATATGAAGTATGCGACATACAACATAGTCAGTAGGGTGCAAGGGTCAGGAATATGTGTGCTACAATGCAGCTTATAGAATGCTGCGGTCATGAGTATGTAACATACAGTACAGTGCGCAAAGCATAGCAGTCTGGAGCATGTAACCTTCAACATAGAATTTTGGGTAGAAGGATTCGGAGTATGCCACATACAATGTAGTATTTAGGGAGCAGGGGTCAGGAATATGTGAGGTACATCACAGCTTATAGAATGTAACCTACAACACAGAATTTTGGGTACAAGGATATGAAGTATGCAACATACAACATAGTAGTGTGCAAGGGTCAGGATTATGTGTGCTACAACGCAGCTTATAGAATGCTGCGGTCATGAGTATGTAACATACAGTACAGTGCACAAAGCATAGCAAGTCTGGAGAGTGTAACCAACAACACAGAATTTTGGGTACAAGGATATGAAGTATGCAACATACAACATAGTAGGGTGCAGGGGTCAGGAATATGTGTGTGCTACAACACAGCTTATAGAATGCTGCGGTCATGAGTATGTAACATACAGTACAGTGCGCAAAGCATAGCAAGTCTGGAGCATGTAACCTTCAACATAGAATTTCGGGTAGAAGGATTCGGAGTATGCCACATACAACGTAGTATTTAGGGCGCAGGGGTCAGGAATATGTGAGGTACTGTACATCACATCACAGCTTATAGAATGCTGTGATCAGGAGTATGTAAGATATAGTACAGTGCACAAAGCATAGCAGTCTGGAGAGTGTAACCTACAACACAGAATTTTGGGTACAAGGATATGAAGTATGCGACATACAATATAGTCAGTAGGGTGCAGGGGTCAGGAATATGTGTGCTACAGCGCAGCATATAGAATGCTGCGGTGATGAGTATGTAACATACATTACAGTGCGCAAAGCATAGCAGTCTGGAGCATGTAACCTTCAACATAGAATTTCGGGTAGAAGGATTCGGAGTATGCCACATACAACGTAGTATTTAGGACGCAGGGGTCAGGAATATGTGAGGTACATCACAGTTTATAGAATTCTGTAGTCAGGTTGGTTAGCTTAGATGATTTATTTCTTTTTTTTACACAATTTTATACAATTTTATACAGCCCTCCACTATAAGGAAAAGACGAGTCAAGACATTGCTGCGCTCCGCTTAGACATCTGTATCAGTCGGCTGGTGAATTTAGTTGACAGATCTGCTCGGGACAAAGGTTTAATGTTTGTTTTATAAGGATGAATATTTTGCAGATATAAAAATGGAGATTTATAAACTCCGAGGCTCCGGCAGGAACAATATAAAGCGGTATTGTTTATATGGTTTCTGCGGAGAGGAGACTCAGCAATTTTGCAGAATATATTACCTGGGCATGGGAGGGCAGGACTGGAATGCTGTGCTACTGTTCAAGATTTAGCTACTGAATCTCAATTCTGGACACCTGAAGGCCTCTGACTCCAAAATGACATTTTAGCTCTTTAGTGTCCAGCATCGGGTCTTGTGGGCCACGCTAGGCTGGGGCCCGGACAAGGGATGGTCAGAAGGGGTGGCTGCTCTGGGCACTGTGGTATCATGTGAGGTGGGGGGGGCACTATGAGGAGATTGGGGGGGATTAGTACTTGGAGGGGGAATTTGGGGGGTGGCAGGGGGTAAAGGTTGGCATTGGAAGGGGGGATTTAGGGGGTTTGTGCTAGAAGAGGTGATATGGTAGAGGAGGGATGGGATTCAGAGAAAATTGTGCTAGTGGGGATGATTGGGGATAATTGTGCTAAGACATTGGGGGGGCTTGTGCTGGGGGGAATGTGTACTTGGAGAGGATATTTGAGGTGTAGAGGATTTTTGCTAGGAGGGGGGGTTGTACTAGGGATTTGGGGAGAGAGAGAGAGGATTTGAGCTGGGAGGGGGTTCTGGGGGCAAAGATTTGTGCTGGGAGGGGGATTTTAGCGGGGGGGGGGGGCGTATTTGTCTAGCAAGAAGAGGGAATTTATACTTTGGGGTAAACATGAAGATGAGTGCTCAGTTTTTTTTTTGGGGGGGGGGTTGTACTGGGGAATTTGGGGAGAGAGAGAGAGGATTTGAGCGGGGTTCTGGGGGCAAAGATTCGTGCTGGGAGGGGGATTTTAGCGGGGGGGGGCGTATTTGTCTAGCAAGAAGAGGGAATTTATGCTTTGGGGTAAGCATGAAAATAAGTGCTCAATTTTTTTGGGGGGGTTGTACTGGGGAATTTGGGGAGAGAGAGAGGATTTGAGCTGGGAGGGGGGTTCTGGGGGCAAAGATTTGTGCTGGGAGGGGGATTTTAGCAGGGGGGGCATATTTGTCTAGCAAGAAGAGGGAATTTATGCTTGGGGGTAAGCATGAAGATAGGTGCTCAATTTTTTTTTTTTTTGGGGGGGGGGGGGTGTACTGGGGAATTTGGGGAGAGAGAGAGAGGATTTGAGCTGGGAGCGGGGTTCTGGGGGCAAAGATTTCTGCTGGGAGGGGGATTTTAGCAGGGGGCGTATTTGTCTACCAAGAAGAGGGAATTTATGCTTGGGGGTGAGCATGATGATAAGTGCTCGATTATTATTTTTTTTTTTTGGGGGGGGGGGGATTTTTGCTGACACACAATGCTAATACATCTTGGAGGGCTCAGTTTGGATTATCCCTCCTTGTCCCAGCACTGGGTGGGGCGTTTCCCCATGTGTCCACTGTGATTTGATATGGTAGAGGAGGGATGGGGGGTTTGCTGACACATAATGCTCATACATCTTGGAGGGCTTAGTTTGGATTATCTGTCCTTGTCCCGGCACTGGGTGGGCCGCCTCCCCATGTGGCCACTGTGCTTTGTCACATGACTTTACAGATTGCAAGAACAGGCAAGCATGGGGATGTATGACAGTTCCCTGCATGGTGCAGCTCTTCATTGGAGGATGATCTCATAATAATCCATGTTTAAAGTGATTCTGTGTCCACTAAGTCCACTGCTAAGTCTAGTTACCTAGGACCAGGGGTGGACTGACTATTTGGGCACTCGGACACTGCCCGAGGGCCCGGGGTCAGTAGGGGGCCCCATGAGATGCCCCTGGTACCTTTCATAGACTTTTTTGGTTGTGGTTTGAGTGTGGGTGAGGACACAGGGGCCCCATGATCCCCTATTTCCCGGGGACCCCATGAGTTGTCAGTCCACCCCTGCCAAGGACATGTTTCTTTGGTTTCCTCCTTGTTGTGCTGGATCAACAAGTGCACTTTACTACTATGTATGAGTTCCTGGAGCTATGCAGGAGCAACTACATATCAGTAAAGTACATGACCTCTACAAATCCCAGAAGCAGATCAATTCAGAACAGATGGAAGTTCTCCATTGCTCCTACTTGGCTTTGTCATATGAGATGTAGCTGTGAGGTATTTCTGGGAGAAGGTCTTTACACTTGGGGATGGATGTCACTCTTTTTCTAAGGTCTGCTAAAAACTTTATTTGGTTGGGGGAAGGCTATCATGTGTGCTGTTTCCTTGACTTCTTAACAATTGAACTTGAGGTGGGGGCTTTTAGTAGGAGGAAGGGGGACTATTATGTGTGCCATATCATTCCTCTCCTCAAGATACCCAAGGATGCTCCAGGTCTTCTAGGGTGTTCTAGGGATACATTCCCTGAGTTTTCGCCTTAGTGGTCCAGATCAATGAATGCACTTGTTATGTGAGTGTCCCTGCCGAGTCACTGAGGCTATATGCAGGAGAACCTACACAGCACTAAAGTACCTGACCTGTACAAACCCCAGAAGCAGATCAGTTCAGAACAGAGGGAAGTTCTCACAATCTCCTCCTTGGCTTTGACATGTGATATGACATAGAAAATTGACA